TTTATCTAATTTTCACAAGCATAATGACATCCGAAAGAATTGGTAATTGACCTGGAGGGTTTTTTTAGAGATGATGATTCAGCATATGCAAATGATGAAATTAGATATATTAATGAAAAACAGGCGTACGCGCGTTAGCAAACCCATATATATATATATATATATATATATATATATATATATATATAAAATAATAAGTTTAGGACATCAAAATCACCTTCCTTAGGGGTAATATAAATTATAAAAAGAATAAATTTTTGTATTTATAAAGAAAAGGAGAAATTGAAAGGTAAAATAGGAATGTAAATGCATGTAAAATTTATTGGGTATCATGGTCTTTATATGTGACAAGAATATTAAGAATGAATGTAAAATGTTAAGAATTTTTATATGTATAAAGGAAAAGAGAAATTGAAAGCTAAAGTAGTAAATGTAATAAAATGAAGTAAAAATTTATTGGGTATCAAAATATTATGATTCTTATACATGACAAATGTTTAAAATTGAATTTTAACTCTAATTCAATTTATAATTTTATAAGATTAATTTGTAAAATAAAATTTATATTTAATTATAAATTATAATATCATATTAAGAAATGAATTTTTAAGTATAACTTAATATTAAAAACCAGTTTCTAGAAAAATATTTACATATTATATTTTATAAATTAGTTTTATTTATAAGACTTAAAATACGTGCTTATGTCATTGTATATATTCTTGTTTATTTAGCACAAAAGAAAAGAATTCCACACATTTGTTTAGACCATACTCGCCATATTGAAACACAATATTTTCATACATATCTTGGTCGTTTTCGTATTTCAATCAAACTGCATCTATCTCTGCATAATATTCATTGTCTAACCGTCCAAAGAATTTTATGTTTTTACAGATGTTGTTTTTGTTGATTTATGAGCCCATGAGTTAGCTTTCCCCTTTAATGACTATAAGTATCATTGAATCAAAAGAGAAACGTCTTTAGTCAAGAAATGCAATTAATCAATTGTTGAGAAGTCGAGATGTCACTTTATTCTAACCCATAGAAAAAAAGGAAAAATCTACATCAAGAGAAGTATAGTCAAATAATTGAGGGTGGAAAGTTTACTAACCTAATTTAACTTGAATTTATTACATCTTTGACTTACAAGATTGACCCGAATTATTCTATGTTGTTTTTGTCTATATTTATATAAAGTTTAAAAAGATAAAAAGATTATATTTGTTAAAATTAAAGTTTGAAGATATAAGTTTGTTAAGATCGACAAGAATATGTCTTGTCAATAAACAATCTTCTTCTTACAAGATAGCATATGTATCATCCATTTTTGTTTTTCAACCATTAATTTCTTTTCATTTAATGTTAAATATTATTATTTGATGTGTATGTAGCTTTCAAATTCAAAGATAATATTGGTATGTACATGTCAATTTCAACGATCAACTGTGACGACTGTTTGCAGTATTTGGGGAGTGGATAATTTTATAGTTTATATTAAAGTAGTATGTATATAAAATTCCCAGTTGAAAAAATTAAAGAATTCTTTATAGACGCCCTTCCAGGTTTTGTTGAAGTAATTGGATTTTGGGTTCTCATAACCAGATTCCAGAAAGTGATATTATTTCTTTTAGTACAGATTTTGGTTAGCTTGAGCGTATTTTTATATTGTCTTGTCAAGGTTAAAATTCCTGCGTGGAGAATTTAAGGATGGATTAAGTTCGAAAAAAATGTTATTTTTTAATATGGGTTAATTTTAAATTTAATCCATTTAAAATTCGGTTTATTTAAGTTGAATATGTGATGAGTTAGGTTGATTTACTAATCTACTTAATTTAATTTAATTATTTATTAATTTATATTTTAATATTATTAGTTAACATTTTCTTTTATTGGATTTTAGATGAGATAAAGAAAAATATATTTTTAAAAAAAGAAAATATTATGGATTTATTCAATTCAAGACTCTAATATTATAAATAAATAAGTGACATTATTGTATTGTTGGGTTTAGTGCTTGTTCTTAGGTTACGTTTAGATTGTTTGATATTTTTTATTTTGAATTATGTTCGGAGTTTAACATCATTTTAAAAATTTATTTAGATTTGACTTGAAAAAATTAATTTTTTTATATTTGAAAAAAGCTGTAATTAAATAAACCAATAAGCCAACTCATTTAACTCACCAACTCGTGTTGGGCCGAGTTGAGTTTGAATATTTTTGGCTCACTAATAAATGAGTCGAGTTGAATTGATTCACTAAGTGACTAACCTGTGATGGGTCGGGTCAGATCAGACCGGATTACCCGTTTTGACAACACTAATTCTATGTAATTATTCTTAAGCTTGACCAAATTCTATTTATCTATGATATTTTTCTTAAATTAAATTAATCTATTTAAATTTTTGACCTATTTTCTAAGTTTTTTAACAGTGTATATTATATAAATATTTATGAAATCAAACAATAAATTTACCTGTGCTAACGAATTTAAAAAATTAATAATCTTCTTTATTAAATAAAACAACCATTTGATAATTCTTGTTTCAGTATAGATATCTCATTCTGATTTGATTCCAATGAGAGAAGGACATATTTTAGATATAGGATATCTCATCTGGGTTAAATATGATTTTAGTCCTTAATTTATCAAGTGAATTTGTTTTTAGTCCCTCTTTCAAAGTAAGGTACATTTTAGTCCTCCTCCTTTAGGAAACCATAATTTTTCGTCCTCCAAATCCAACAGCGTTAAAAAAAAGCTGAGCTGGCTAACGGTGTAATGCCACGTCATTTTTTTTTTGAGTCAATCTCCCTTCCTCACTGGTGTCGTCTCGACTCCGTCTCCAAGCAGTTCCTCCTCTCCAACCTGGCCCTCCACGGCAAGACCCGTCTGGACTCCTTCGCGGTCTCCACCGCCCCCTGCGGCCATTGTCGGCAGTTCTTCCACGAACTTCGCGACGCCTCCGATATCTAATTCATGATCACCTCCCACGCCAACCCTCACTTCACCTCTCTCTCCCTTCCTCTCCCACCACTTCGGCCCCCACGATCTTCTCTGCACTTCCTTCACCTTAGAGCGACCCTCAGATCGGCGCGTTCTCGTTTTCCTTGATGACTTCGCCGTTAAATCCTCACACTCTCTTCTTCAACTCCCTTAAATCTCGAGGCTTCGATCTCTATTTCCACCTTGCCGATGACCCCCAATTTCAGATTTTGTTGATTCGAGTCATGATTTTGTTGATCCAAAACGTAACTAAGAAGAAATTTTCTGAGTTTATGGGTTTGATTTGGGGTTTTTTGGGCTGCTGCGTTTTCTGGGTTTTGTCTTGCAGGTGAGGAGGAGCTTCGCCGTTTGGATGTTCGACGGTGTTGCTTGGGGCATAGGGAAAAGTCTCACGGTGTAGGTTTCCTAGAGGATTAGGGGTTTTGCGATTCTGATGGTTATGTTGTGGAGGCTCGTGACGACGGTGAATGGTTGCTCATGGTGGTGGTCCGATGCGAGCTTGCAGAGGATGACGAAGGGAGAGTGGTGGCAGAGAGATTGAACTCGTAATGGCACTGCTCGTATTGGGTGGTGGCGCGATGAGGTTGCTCGTGTCTGAGTGTTGATGGTGGAGGTGCGTGATGGAGGATGGCGTAGGGTTTCTGCAGCAGCAGTTTCACGGTGACATGATGGCTGGCCGGCGCGACGTTGTGTTGGCAGTGTGGCATTGACGGCGGGAAAGATTGACGTGGCAGAAAAGCTGGGAAGATTTGCTCAGGTCAAAACAGAAAAATGGCGTGACACTTCACCGTTAGCCAACTAAGCTTTTTTTTTAACGCCGTTAGATTTGAAGGACAAAAAATTATGGTTTCCTAAAGGAAGAGGACTAAAATGTACGTTACTTTAAAATAAGAACTAAAAACAAATTCGCTTGATAGATTAAGAACTAAAAACATATTTAACCCTTAGAAAATTCAATTATTTTAGTACTTCTATAATTTTATTTTTATAACTGATGAATTTAGTTAGTTTTTAAATACAATGGTTTAAACACTTTTACTCTCTACCAAATTTCCTAATATTGGATAAGAGTAAAAATTGGACTAAAGGTTTTGTTCATCTCCATTTTACGTTTACCTTTCTATAAAAAAAAATAATCAAACAAGAAATATCTAGATCTCATTTAAAATATTATATGTTAATATTATGAAACAATTATAACCATAAAGACAAACAGTATTGTCTATATTTTCTCTGTAGTGGGGATTCAAGAAAAGATTAGCTTGAAATTATATAGACTTGCATTTTTATACATCAGTGTCACTAAAGCTTATGTGTTTTTTTCAATTGGAAAAAAGAAGCTTATATATGATTTTAGTCTTTATTTTAAGTTATAAAATGGGATTTAAATACAAAAATAATGTATAAGAGGAATAAAAATCCTATAATTATGATACTATAATGAAGCAAGTTAATTGATAAATTATGCATTGACAAAACAAGTAACACAATCGCTGACCGGAGAATTTTAAGAATTGGGAGGCCGCCATTCTAGAATATGTTAGATAGGAAACTGGACTTTACGCTTTCGTATATTTATACTAAATATTTTATTTGAATAATTCGTTTATATTAACATGTTCAGTTTTTAATACAATAAAAATCATATTCGTAATAATTAGAACTTTAATTTTATAATTTTTATTAATAATGAATAAAAGTGAATTAAGTATATGTTAGATTTTTACTAGTTGTTATTTGTTAGAAATTAAAATTGATACATCATTAGTAATAAAAAACACTAAAAAAGAATTAAATATTATAATTTTTTTATTATATAAAAAATGAAATATAACAAACAGTCTTATTATTGTATTTTTTAAAAAAGAATGTAAGTAAAAGAAGAACAGAGGATGCCCCCAAAACCTTGCGTCAGCTTCACTCTTTGATATTCATAGAAAGAAACACATTGAGACCAAAGTTTGTGCTTATAAATAGACGTCAGTCTCTGCCAAATACCCACAAACCAAACATCTTCTTCTCCTTCTATTCTCGTATTCTTCGATCTCTTTTATACCATCCATTAATAATGGCTGTTTTCACATTCGATGACCAAACCACTTCACCTGTAGCTCCTGCTACCCTTTACCAAGCTCTTGTGAAAGACGCCGACAACATCGTACCAAAGGCGGTTGATTCCTTCAAGAGTGTTGAAATCGTTGAGGGCAACGGTGGCCCCGGAACCATCAAGAAAATCTCTTTCTTTGAGGGTAAGATATACATCTTCACTTTTTTTCTGCATGTTTTCTCTATCTGCATTGTAACACTATCATCACACATGAACAGATGGGGAGACAAAGTTTGTGTTGCACAAAATAGAAACAATAGACGAGGCAAACTTGGGATACAGCTACAGCATTGTTGGAGGTGCTGCTTTGCCAGACACTGCAGAGAAGATCACAATCGACACTAAACTCAGTGATGGCCCCAACGAAGGCTCAGTGGTAAAGCTGAGTATAAAATATCACAGCAAAGGAGATGCACCACCTAATGAAAATGAGCTCAAAGCTGGCAAAGCCAAGAGTGATGCTCTTTTCAAGGTCATCGAGGCTTACCTTTTGGCCAATGCTTGATCGGAACTTGAGTCATTATCCACATCTTTCCTTATATTATATTATATGCAAGACTACCTTAAGTTCATTTTCAATGTAATGGTGTTTCCTTTCTTTTCGCCATTGATGGCAAAGTAACGTGAGGGGTTGATATCTTTGTAACTCACTTCATCAATAAACTATCATGAAATATTGCATCACCTCCGAGTTTCTTTTATTGTTTATGATATGAAGAATTTAATCCAGGTTTTTAACATTGGTCGCCCCGAATCAATGTTAGTAAATTGAATTTAACTTTTATATATATATATATATTCATCAATATTTCTATACACAAATCAATAAATATTAAAAATTAGAGGTTCACCAAACAATAACCATGTTACAAAAATGACATATTAAATCGGTTTAGAAATCGATATTGTCTAAATGTAATAAGTGGAACACATATAATATTGGTTGTCTAAGTTGAGGCTTCTTAACACTGAAGGATTGCCGAAAAACTAGAAGAAAGAGACGAAACCAATGATGTTTTTTCTAAACGACAGTAACAAAGCTTTTCAACGACAGCAAGGACTCCGTTATTCTTAAATGCAACTGTGGTGAGTGAGAGCTAGGGTGAGAACGGAGGATCAAAACACAAGATTTACTGAAAATTCATATAAAGAGAGGAAAATGGAACAGTGGAGATTCTGGAAAAGAAAATGAAAACAGAAAGGAGGGAGGTGCAAAAATGGAGAAGAGAAGACAACGACACTAGAGAAGATGAAAAGCTCTTAAATGAAAGGAAAAAAGAAGCAAATGCATTAAAAAGTATACAGTTCTATTAAATAATAACAATGTGAATCTTGTGCATTCATCCACGATATAAAGATGTTTCTAAATCACTGTTTCAAAATATCACAAACAAAAATATGTCTATGCTTCGTGAAAATTCTTTCGACCTATACAATGGAATATATCCTCTATTTAATCTTTCATATTAACTTCTATCTTCTTTCTCAATATCAAATATTGTTAGAATATGAACCAGTTCATCATATTGTCTATGTTGTGTAATCTTCAAGAATTCGTCATAAATAGGATATTCTTGTATGATGTGTAATGTTTGTAATCACTCATTCATACTTCATAAATTAATGCATGGGGTTAGTATAATGTTTCATTGCTCTGTCTATTAGATTGTTGCAACTTTAATCCATTTCTCAAATACTTTTGTAAGTAGCAAGTGATATGTCAAAACGGGTAATCCGGCTTGACCCGGCCCAAGTTGGTCACTTAGTGAGTCAATCCAACCCAGTTCACTTATTAGCAAGCTGAAAAAATTTGAGGCCGGCTCGACCCACTACGGGTTGATTCACTGACTCCTTTAATTATAAGTTTTTTTTAAAATAAAATAATTTTAATTTTTTTAATTCAAATCTAAATAAATTTAAGTCTAAAATGATGTTAAACTTCAAAGACAAATCAAAATAAAAAATATATATTATACAATCCAAGCTTAATCCAAAAACAAGCACACAAACAAATAATGTTTTTAATATTGACAATTTTTGTATCACTTGTCCATCTATAATATTAGATTCTTGAATAGATAAATATATAATATTTTTCTCTCTTTAAAACATTTTTTTTATCTTATCTACAATATAATAAAAAAAAATACTAACTAATAATATTGAAACACAAAATAATAAATAATTAAATTAAATTATGTGAGTGGGTGAGTCAACACAGATTCAACCCGGGTGAGACGGATTGAAAACTAACCCGCATAAAAAGATTACATTAAGTTGGTTCGCGAGTTACAATTCATTTTGACAACACTAATAAATTTACATCTCTTTTGTTTTGAAACCTTTTCCCATTGTAATAGACATCGTTTTGTATAAGTGAAAGGTATTAGATTAAATCCACCATAATCAAAAGTGTGCAAAAAAATCAAATAAATTTTGCATACACGGAAACTTCACCCAAAAAAAAAATGAATATGACTTGATCTACAATTATTAATAAAGTAAACAAGAATAATCTTTTCTCACTCTTTAACTAGACGATTCAACATTTAATAAAAGCAATTAATACTATATTAGTTATTTCATTGAATCACATTTATGAAATTATAGTTCACTCACATGAAATTATTATAAAGCAACAGCAATCTTAAATAAAGCATAATAAATAACTTATCGATAAATTAAATTCTATGAATTTTCGTGGTAGTCTCCTTTATTTTGTTTGTGAATGAAAACCAAATATAACAATAAAGTTAACATGTTAAATACATTGCACACTATAGTATGTCCAATTGAGTCTTATTATCAATATCAAATCTTAAATCCCAACAAACATGTTAAATCACAAGAAAATGAAGGATTTGCTGGACATATATACCTAATATATATATATATATATATATATATATATATATATATATATATATATATAGTATTGAATATATATATTTTATTACACTCTTACTAAAAAATGTACTCTTACAATTAAAACAAAAGATAAATAATTTTTTTGTTTTTAAATTTAAATGTGAAATTAGAATTTGTTTTTATTTTAGATTTTAATATGTTTTATTTTTAAACTTTAAAAATAAATAGATATTATATTTTTAATCTAATAGTATTAATTTTTTTTATATATTAAGTGAACACTTTAAGTTAATATTTAAGTTGTAACTTTTAAATCTAAATTATTCAAATGTCATCTTAAAATATTGTTCAATATATAAAAAAAATCAAATTTTATATCTAAGTGAAAGAATTAAAAATATATTTAATTCTAAAAAATTAAATTAAATTCTACATAAATTCATTACCGTAAAAAAAAGAGCCAATGTTTAAGTGATAACATATTTTATTTATAATTTATTGAAAAAGAAATCAACCCCTGACGTGACTTTGCCGTCGACGGCGAAAGAAAGGAAACACCATTACATTGAAAATGAACTTAAGGTAGTCTTGCATATAATATAATATAAGGAAAGATGTGGCTAATGACTCAAGTTCCGATCAAGCATTGGCCAAAAGGTAAGCCTCGATGACCTTGAAAAGAGCATCACTCTTGGCTTTGCCAGCCTTGAGCTCATCTTCATTGGGTGGTGCATCTCCTTTACCGTGGTAAGATATGGTCAGCTTTATAAGTGATCCTCCGTCGGGACCGTCGGTGATTTTAGTGTCGATTGTGATCTTCTCTGCAGTGTCTGGCAAAGCAACACCTCCAACAATGCTGTAGCTGTATCCCAAGTTTGCCTCGTCTATTGTTTCTATTTTGTGCAACACAAACTTTGTCTCTCCATCTGTTCATGTGTGAAGATAGTGTTACAATGCAGATAGAGAAAAGATGCAGAAAAAAAGTGAAGATGTATATCTTACCCTCAAGGAAAGAGATTTTCTTGATGGTTCCGGGGCCACCGTTGCCCTCAACGATTTCAACACTCTTGAAGGAATCAACCGCCTTTGGTACGATGTTGTCGGCGTCTTTTACAAGAGCTTGGTAAAGGGTAGCAGAAGCCACAGGAGAAGTGGTTTGTTCCTCGTAGGTGAAAACAGCCATTATTAATGGATGGTATAAAAGAGATTGAAGAATATGAGAATAGAAGGAGAAGAAGATGTTTGGTTTGTGAGTATTTGGCAGAGACTGGCCTCTATTTATAAGCACAGTCTTTGGTCTCAATGTGTTTCTTTCTATGAATATCAAAGTGTGAAGCTGACACAAGGCTTTGGGCATCCTCTGTTCTTCGTTTACCACTTACATTTTTTTTTTAACAATATAATTATAAGGCTGTTTGATATATTTCATTTTTATATAATAAAAAAATCATAATATTTAATTTTTAGTAATAAAAAATTATATTATTTTGTAATTTTAACTTATATTTATTACATAAAAAAATTAATATTCATATATAATTTTTTGAAAAAAATTACCTTCTAATTTGTATTTTAAATTTTAAATTTTAGTGTTTTTTATTACTAATTATGTATTAATTTTAATTACTAACAAACAACAATTCATAGAAATCTAACATATACTTAATTCAGTTATATTATTACAAAAAAATTAAATAAAATTTATAAAATTAAAGTTTTTATTATTACAAATATGATTTTTTGTTGTATTAAAAACTAAATATGTTAATATAAACCAATTATTCATATAAAATATTTAGTATAAAATATATGAAATCATAAAGTCCAATTTCCTATCTAACAACTTCTAGAATGGCGGCCTCCACATTCTTAAATTTCTCCGGGCTGCCATTGTGTTATTTGCTTTCTCAATGCATAGCTTCTCAATTAACTTCGTTCGTTATAGTATCATAATGATTTTTATTCTTTTTTTTGCATAATTTAAGTATTTAAATCTCATTTAATAAATTAAAATAAAGACTAAAATCACATAATCTTTTTTCCTGATTAAAATAAAAACATAAGCTTTAGTGACACTAATATATAAAAATGCAAGTCTATATAACATGCTAATCTTTTCTTAAATCCTGATCAATATCCCACTAAAAAGAAAATATAGACAAAAATGTTTGTCTTTATGGTTATAATTGTTTCATAATATTAAAATATAATATTTTAAATGAGATCTAGATATTTCTTGTTTGATTATTTTTCTATAGAAAGGTAAACGTAAAATGAAGATGAACAAAATCTTTAATCCAATTTCTACTCAGTATTAGGACATTTGGAAGAGAGTAAAGGTGTTTAAACCATTGTATTTAAAAACTAACTATATTTATCAATTATAAAATAAAATTATAAAAGTATGAAAATAACTGAATTTCTAAAATTTTTCCTCTTCTCCCATTGGAATAAAATCAGAAAAAAGATATCCTATACTAAAACTTTCAAAGAATTATCAAATGGTTGTTGTATATGGAAAAAGAATTTTCTAAAACATAATTTCTTTTATTATTTTGAATTTTCTAATTTCCTACTAACAAAATAAATCTTCCTTCCTCTCAACTAAATTCCTATATGTCCATTTCCTTCCTTTTTATTATATGTACATGCATAACAATATATATTATCAATGTATATGTTAAAAATATTTATTTATAATAAATCTTATTTTGTAGCATTCTATTTTTAACCATATTATCACTAATAAAATAAGACAATATAAAATTAATAAAATAAAATAGATTTATCTCAATTTATAGATATAATATTAATATAGTTGTCTAATAGAACTAATCATAATAATAAATATATTTAAAATAATTACTAGACAACTAGTGCTCTCTACTTTCTCATTTCTATACAATTGGGACTTACACTCACACTTGGTGACACCACTCTCTACTCAAAACCTTAAGACAATGAGTTAATGGGTCTTTCATCTTTATATAGTGCTCTACTTTCTCATTTATATCCAATGTGGAACTTAGACTCACACTTGGATTCTCACCACAACCTACTCCTCATCTGCTCACACATATAAGATGATCATTGTAAAAAAACAAACAAGAAATACAAAAAAATAACAACAAGGTAACCTAATGTGCAAAAGAGAAATCGTAAGACAATTAAATCATATCAAATATAAGCTAAACATGAATTAAATACAATAAATCATATAGATACATATAAACAATTGTTAATATAGTTAATTATCGGGATACATGCCTTTGATACTGGGTTTCATTGTAGGCGTGCACTTGTTTATGCTCTAAAGAGTCATAAACATAGGGACTATCACTCTACCACTCAGTAAAATTAGTCTCTTCACACCTAGAACCAAAACAATCTAGTGGTTAGAACCTCTTCTCATTCTCTCCCCGTACCATTCCTCTCTATATGAGTTTAATAATCGGTAAAATATTTGCTTACCTCTTTACTAATTCCACAATGTCAATATACGCTAAGATCATCACCACAAAAAATTTCTCCTTAAAATTCTATTAACACCATCGTTATATTTGTCCAACACCATAATCATCATAAATGATACTAAACAATACTATAAACATAGATACAAATAATTTTGGAAATAATTTTTGTTTGGTTAATTTTAAAAAAATGGTTAAAATTTTACAAAAACTAATTACACAAAAAAATGGTTAAATTTAAAAAACAAAAGGTAAAATTGGAAAAAAAATATAAACACCAAAAAGTTGAATTTGTTTATATAAAAGTATAGAAACAAAGTAAATAATAGTTATATGATAATTAAATATAAAAATATTTATCAACAACAAATACAAGCATCATCAATTCCCATCATATCATGCTTTTATGACATAAAATTTAGGGTTAAATTGTTATTTTTTTGAAGAAAAATATTCATATCTATTTGCTGGTCGTTTAATATAGAAATACAAGTAATATTAAATTATTATATTGAAATTTGACGAAAATAAATAATATTACTTTCTGGAACTGGTTAGGAAAACCCCAAACTCCAATTACTTCAAGAACGTCTGGAAGGCCGTCTATAAAGAATTGTCTAAATTTTTCATGGCGGCCAGTTTTAAAAATATACTACTTTAATATAAAATATAAAATATGAAATTATCCATTCCCGCAAACAGAGCAAACAATCGCCATTGTTGAAATTGAGGTGTCTATGCAATTTACATTCTTTGAATTCCAAAGCTGGAAGATAGCAATACCTGACAAACACATAAAATAATAGTATTCAACATCAAATAAAAAGAGTGATAGTGGAAAAATAAGAAAGAATGATGCATGCTCATGTTTTAAAAAGATTGTTTATTCAGATAAAAAGAATGTTAATGTTCTCGGTAAACAGATGAAGGCTCCAACTACCCTGTTTCAGTGTGTCAGCTTTATATTCGCATTAACAAACACAGTAACACCAAAGCTTATCCTTATAAATAGAGGCCACTCCTCTGCCAAATACCCACAAACCAAACATCTTCTTCTCCTTCTATTCTCATATTCTTCAATCTCTTTTATACCATTAATAATGGCTATTTTCACATTCGAGGACCAAACCACTTCTCCCGTAGCTCCTGCTACCCTTTACCAAGCTCTTGTGAAAGACGCCGACAACATCGTACCAAAGGCGGTTGATTCCTTCAAGAGTGTTGAAATCGTTGAGGGCAACGGTGGCCCCGGAACCATCAAGAAAATCTCTTTCCTTGAGGGTAAGATATACATCTTCACTTTTTTTCTGCATCTTTTCTCTATCTGCATTGTAACACTATCATCACACATGAACAGATGGGGAGACAAAGTTTGTGTTGCACAAAATAGAAACAATAGACGAGGCAAACTTGGGATACAGCTACAGCATTGTCGGAGGTGCTGCTTTGCCAGACACTGCAGAGAAGATCACAATCGACACTAACATCAGTGACGGTCCCAACGGAGGATCACTTATAAAGCTGACCATATCTTACCACGGCAAAGGAGATGCACCACCCAACGAAGATGAGCTCAAAGCTGGCAAGGCCAAGAGTGATGCTCTTTTCAAGGTCATCGAGGCTTATCTTTTGGCCAATGCTTGAATTATTACCAAAAGTCTTTGATTACACATGTACCCGAGTTTCCTTGTGTGTTTATCTTAGAACCTGGCTTCCAACGTCACCCAGTGTTTCCTTCCTTATTTTTATTTTGTCCCCAATATCTTTATATTTCAGTTCATCAATAAATTATAATAAATCAAAGAAAATTTTAAACCTTTTTTTTTTTACTGGGAGTTTAATATGATTATATTGTAGGTAAGATTTAAGTTTTTCTATGGCAACGAGAAGTTGACGATGGAGTTTTAAAAAACTTATAAACAACTCTATCCCATTTTTCATTTGGTTTGACTTTAATTTGACTTTTAAGTAAAATATTGTTTAAATAATCCTTAATGAGACATCTATTATAATTGGACTCTCAATAAGACTTAATTTTTGAGTTGTAAAATTTCTGCCTTACTATAAAATAAAATGAATAGAGTTGGGCTAACTCATTTTCAATCTACCGGTATGAACTGAATCAGCTAATTTTGACAATCCTGATTTGACAACTTATATATATTGCTTTATCTTTCTACATATTAGAGGAGTCAAATGATAATATTTCAACATAATGATTTAACCTTTTTTTTGTGTGGAGAACAAACATCACTGCTATCGATTTTCCTGTGTGGTAGAGAGAGGTTGTGTGTTGTTTTTACACCTGAAGGAGGTTGTTCTTGGTCTGTGTCCGTAGCATAACATCTAACCATGTTTTCTAATGTTGTTTTACCACTTACATTTTCCAAGTTTTTGGTGCTTTGTGATATCCATCTGCAAATCCATATATACATATTCGAAGCAAGGACAGAGCGCATCATCAAATTTTTTAAGTATGATATAGTTTAATGTACTCAAGAAGACAATCGAGGATATATATGATCACAAAAGATCACTGTCAAGATTACAGACAAAGCACAACATTTCAGGAATTTGGTCTTAGTACACAGCCGTTGAACAAATCATTGTCTCTGCTTAATAGAATCCAGAGAGCTTTAGTAATATGATTGCGTCCCGTTGAGCAAGTTCAGCTCTAAGGATAACTTACTTGGTGGAGAATGGAGACACCGAGCGAGATTAAATCTTTTAATGTGTGAAAACTTAAGTTAAAGTGATTTTTAATTTATATATATTTGAATAATTATTTGAGATTGGATGATGTATAAATTGGTTGGATGTTGATAGTGTAGTGATTCTCAGGAATTAAGTGTTATATTAAGTTGAGTTCATGATATATTAAAGAGTGATTTAATAAGATTATGTTAATTCTATTACTATCCTATTTATATAAAGAAATATATATAGTGATGAGAGATGAGAGATTCTATAATTTAGAGTTTCAATATGAAAAAAATATCGAATTTTATAGATATGAAGAATTTACTCTATCATACTGATAGATGATATACTATATAAATAGTAAAATCTAACTAGAATCACTTCATCAGATAACATATATATGGATAATAGTAAAATTTACGATTCGACACATTTTGGATAGTTACACCATCAATAATTTAATTTCAAAACAAACTTTTAAATATATTTTTAGTTGTTTAAGTTTCAGTAAAAACTAAAATTAGTTCATTTTCTAAATTTAGGTCAAATTTCATCTTTCAGTTTTAAAAATGTAAAGATTTAATTTTTTTAATCAAAATTTGTTAATTTTATTTTAAGTTTTTTCATGATAATAGTTGAATTGTTTACCTCGTTTGATACGTTTTTATTTTAATATTAATTAAAAAAATATTTGAAACGTTAAATAAATTTAACAAAATTTGATTAAAATAATTAAATTTACGTAATTTTAAAATTGAGATTGAATTGGAGTAAAGTTTTGAATGAAACTAATTTCAATTTTTATTGAAAATTAAATAACAAAAAATATATTTAATCCTAAATTTAATTTTCTTAAAAATAACAAAATATCATAATCAGCCTATTTATAGATTTAAGTTAACTTTTCTGTTGAAAATGTCTTAAAATTTTATAAGTTTAATATTTATACATAAATATAAAAACTCTATACTTTCAAATAAATAAAAAATATTAAAAAAAAATCATACAATCACACGACTTCGTTATAATTTAATGGTATAGTTAGAGAAAATAAGAGATCAATAAATAATTAAGAATTCAAATATAATTATAAGTCTCATCAATTATAAATAATAAAATTCAATAACATATAAAAAAGAAGATTCATAATTTTTTTTTTCAAATTTTATGTTAGAGGTACTTCAATCTCCTTTTTAAGTTTGGCCCTAGTATTATTTTTTAGTGAATGTCCTCCGTAATTCCTTTGGAAAAACCCATATTCGTATTTGTATTCTCACTCAAATATTTATTAGATACTTTTTATAAAAAAATAAAATCAAAATAAATAAAACAATATGTTGCCTACTATTAAATTTGAAAAGCACACACAATTTACTTTCTTCTATGCTAAATAAAACAGAAAAAAATTTAATTACATAAATTTTAAAATAAAGTATCACATAAACTAAAGATCTTTTAGTTATTTACGGTCTGCTATTCCATACTTGATTTAAGAAATTATGTATTATAAAAAAACTTAAAATTTAAATATTTTAATTACTTTATTTAAATGAAATATTTATAAATAAATAAAAATTATATGTATTTCAATTTTTTAAAATTGTTAAAATACTTGTTAAAATTAACATTTTCGCGCGTTACTGTGAATTTCTTCTGCCACAGTTCATTATTAAAAAAAAGTTAACCGGTCTTTAATAAAATCTTTTAATCAATTTTTTTTTATAAATTATAAATTATTTTTTAAATAATCTCATCTTAAAAATTGTTAATAATTTAAAAAATAGTATGAAAAAAAAATGAACTTAAAAAAATAATAAATTTGGTTACTCGTAAATGTATAAAAAACACCATTTATTCTATGTTTTCAAGAAGTCAAAAGTTCAAGCCTCAGACAGTGGCGCTCTACTACTCAGTATTTCACATGACGTATTACTTGGGTGTTGTGAGAGGATATTCCGTCTAGAAAATAATTCTTCGAGATTACATATACATTGAATAAGAGTAAAACGATTAATAAGTAGACAAAATTAATATGGTGATGTTTGGTGATTTAAATATTAATAATACATTAATTGTAACTTATCTATTTTTACCTTAACTATATATTTATTAATTACAATTGAATTGTGAACAATTATATTTTATTTTAAAATTTGTCAATATTAAAATTAATTATTTTACTGATTAATCACTTTTGTTCGGTCTTGAGGATGATTGGCACGAATTCAATATTAACTTTAATTTTAAATTGGTTTTGATATTTAAATTAAGTAATCACATTTACTTTTAAATTGATCTTGAAAGTCATATGTTTTAATTATATTTTTGTGTATATTAATTTTTTTATATAGATTAGAGTAACTTAATTATTTTTTAATATATTTTATATTGTTGATAAAAAGAATTATATTTTTAAGTTTTATTATGAAATTACTCAGTCGTTGGATTTTATGAATTTTTGTATGTTAGATATTGTTTTATGATTAAAATATAATATTTACATACTCAATATTACATATTTTTCAAATATCAATTAGCATCTCACGTACTTACTTAAGGACCTAATTAGTTATTTATTCTATTATTGTTCGTAAATTTAATCTATATGTATAGTTTAGAGATATTGTTTCAAGGTTCAAACCCACTTGTATATCAGCTAATAACTTGTTTATTTTTAAAATAATTAAATATAAAAACCAACAAATAAAAAAAATTCTAAAGATTCCTTCGTATATAAGTAACAATTCATCCCTGCAAATACAGAAAATAGTTGCCATTGTTGAACGTGACGTGTTTAGCGTTATCTTCTTTGAATTTTTGTTTCTTTAAGGAAGCTTCTTTGAATTTGAATGCTTCAAAATCGCAATATTTGACAGACATATAAAATTAATATTTAACATTAAAGAGCAAAACGATTGAAATGTTATTGTATAAAATACTCAAGTGAAAAAAAAAACTTCAAAAATTAAAATTAATGAAATAGATGAAAATTGAATATAGACTTACACACATGGGTTAAAACAAACATCACACGTAAATTGCTTCAAAAATTATGTCTGGTTATTATCTCTTCAAAATAGAGACAGGGAAGTTGTGTGTGATTGAAACACTGAAATGAAAAGAAAATTTGCACAGAAAATAAATAAAAAAAAACTGGAAATAAAAACAGAAAAGTAGTCAAAGAAGAATTGAATATCTCTTAAAAAAGATTGTTTATTTTATTTACAGAGGGTAGTGTAAGAGTGAGTCAGCAACTTCATTCACACTATGGTATGGCAAATACATTCATACCACACCTTTGATTCCTTATAAATACATGACACTCCTCCTCTGCTAAACACCCACACACAACACAAAAACATCTTCTCTTTCGATTCTCAAACACCTTTAAGCTTCCATCATGGCTGTTTTCACATTCGACGACCAAGCCACTTCTCCCGTGGCTCCTGCCACCCTCTACAACGCTCTTGCTAAAGACGCCGACACCATCATCCCAAAGGCTGTTGGTTCCTTCCAGAGTGTTGAAATTGTCGAGGGCAACGGTGGTCCCGGAACCATCAAGAAGATCTCTTTCGTTGAAGGTACCATTTTCTTTATATTTTCTGTATATGCATAGCTGTGAAATGTGAACTGTGAATGAATTAATGAATGAATTAATGAATGAATGAACAGATGGAGAGACAAAGTTTGTGTTGCACAAAATAGAAACAATAGACGAGGCAAACTTGGGATACAGCTACAGCATAGTTGGAGGTGTTGCTTTGCCAGACACCGCAGAGAAGATCACAATCGACACTAAAATCAGCGACGGCCCCAACGGAGGATCACTTATAAAGCTGACCATATCTTACCACGGCAAAGGAGATGCACCACCCAACGAAGATGAGCTCAAAGCTGGCAAAGCCAAGAGTGATGCTCTTTTCAAGGCCGTTGAGGCTTACCTTTTGGCCAATCCCTGATTTACAAACTCATCCAATATCAATATCAGTCATAAGAAGCTTGCTTATATGATCATATCGAGAGTTTTCTTGGCTTGCATAAAGTTTCAGAGTGTTCTTAAGTTAAGTTGGCTTCCATTTTAAGGAGTGTTTTCTTTCTTGCTTCCCTTTGCTGCATAATTGTGAGAGCTCGTGGCTATCTTTGTATCTTTCTTCGTCAATAAATGATAATAAAGGAAATCATTACTTTAACTTCTGTCGGTGCTGTGTTTACTGTAAGAGTTTATATAGAATTTAACCCAAGTGCTTTCTTTTGGGTAGACAAAAACAACTGCATTATTGCTACCTTGGGAATAAACCTTGTTTTTTATGAATGATTTGGATGGTGTTCCATCAGCGTAATGAGAGAAGTCAAATGATGAACAGCATCAAGACGTTTCATTTCCTAGTTAATAATAAGGAAGCTAGTTTAACTCAACTATCTGCACCATTTTGGATGTAGACAGCAATCACTATGTTTAATTTTTTTTTTTAAGAAATTAAAGGTATATTTAAATAAAATAATCAATTATTAACTATTTTACATATTCAGATTATTATTATATTTAGTATTTTACTTATAATTTATGTGAATGTATTATTATTTGTAATTAATGAAAAAGGTAAATTTAAGTATCTACTGCTAGATGGATATTTTATAATTGATATTTTTAGCCGAATTGTCTTAAAAATTATTTAAATAAAATTAACTTATTATTTTTTTATAAATGTATTCAAGATACTGACAAATATTAAAGTTGTAATAAAAAATAGTGATAGAATTTTAGATACCTAACACGCATTATGACTTGTATATATTGAACTGTCAACTTGAATACGACCCATATTATCATATACACGTCATCTTGTGAAGAGTTTTACAATGACACCCAACTATTAAAATAAGTCTAACTAGTTTGATTTTATCAAACTTTTTCATACAAACTTTCCAATGAGAAAAAAAAAACACTTTTTCACAAATTAAAATTGGCCATGTACAAATCAAAATAATTTTAAAAAATATATACATAAAATTAATTTTAAAAATTAATTTTATTTTTATAGACAAATTCATTTCAATATTTTTTTCTCTAAAAACGTTCATGAAAAACCTGGTCCAGATTTATATTTATATATACTATTCTATTATTTAATAAAATAGTAAATAAAAAAAGTTATGAATATTAGATAGATGGTAATTTTTAAAGGGAGTTTAATTATTTTTTAAAGAAACAAATAAGAGAATCGTTAATGGAATTGTAAGGCAAATTTATTTAAGTAGTGAGAGATATTTATCTATTTAATAAAAGCATATTTATTTAAGATAGATTTTCTCGTTCAAACGTAAATATTTGATTGTAATTACATATCTAATCTGTAGAGCGCTTTATAAAGTTTATATTTATATATAGTATTATAAAAAAAAAATTGACGTACTGACTTTTTCATAGGCTAGAATATTAGATGAGGACAAAAAGAAAATTATTGGAAAGAGCCATTATAAAATTAAAAAAAAAAAAAAACACTATGACAAGAGACCGACTTTATGTTACTAATCATGATAGAGAAGTGAAATAATGAAAATTAATATGATATTCTATTTAAAAAAGAAGATAATTAAAGTAAATTGGACTTAAAAATAATTTGTAATTTAAAATGAATTAATTATCGTTAAAACATAGTTATTGAAACATAGAGAGAGTGCAATGCAATTGATGCGCCTTAAAATATTGAAGACGGTCTCCCAACAACGACCTTCACCAACACTTGCATCTTAACTATTCTGCGCTTAATTTCTTAACTTATCTCTTCGTTGAAAAATCTGTCACTGGAACCTCTTTTTCAAATCTTTTATTCAATTTCGCCGGCGGCTTTTGAACATCTAGGTTTTTTGCTTTAAAACTTTAATTATTGTACCATATTACACTGATACATCTCTAACTATTTCAAAACATTACTAATGTATCATTAGGAAGATGATTATACTACGATATCACAAAACTAACCTCTAATTAGTGTGATTATATGTACCCACATTAAAAAAATAAAAAAATAAAAAAATAAACATGCGTCTTGAAAATATTCATCTTTTGAATACACTCTTCTTCTTTTTTATTTACCATAAGTCATTAGTCAAAAAGTGTGAACTATTAATACAACTTATTTTCCATAGTTAAGTGTGACTAATAGTCTCAACTCACGAGATTTGACGGTGCATATAGACACCATCTACCATTCTCTATTTATATTTATGAGTCAAATCATAACTAAATAAAATATAGTTTAAATTTCTAATGAACAGTTTAAACTTTTTATTAACAATTATAAATACATTAAATGAAAACGATATAGTTGTCCTAGCCCATAATAATATGGATAAAAAAAATATAATAATATAATCCTTCCCTTATATGATATAAAAATGTTTTAGTCATAATGAGATATCAACTTCACCCAAAACTAAACTTTAATTACAATTCACATAGCACATCTAAAAGTGAAGTCCCATACCTGTATTATTTTCTCATCCGTCCTTATAAATTATATTCCTAATCATCCTAAATAATAACAATTTTTCAACAAATATTTTAAGGGTGTAAAATTTTTATATAAATACATAAAAAAGATGTAAAGATATCAAATATATAAAATATATTAAAATTTAAAAAAGAATTAAAATTATATATTAATTTATATAAATATAAGAAAGAAAAAAAAAAGGAGCCAATCCCTATATCAGTATTAAGAACCGCCTCTGATTCTAAACTCTGACATTTATTTATGCCTCCAAATAATAACAAAAGTATACTTAACGTAGGTATAACAAAACAGGGGTGATACTTTTTTAATTACTTGTGATTGAAAATATCAAATTTTAATTCTAAATAATGATCAAATATAGTAGAAAGATAGTACAGAGAGAGAAAATACTTTTGATGCATGTGTTTATTACAGTGCTGTTAAAATATGTGGTAATTATCGAGTCAATCCGGTCCGAGTTTGAGTCGAGTTTTGAAAAAATATAATTTTTATGTGGATTAGTTTTCAATTTGGTTCACTTAGAAACTGACTCAGGTTAAACTCGTGGTGAGCTGGGTTGGTTCCCCAACCAATTTAATTTAATTTAATTATTTATTATTTTGTGTTTCAATATTATTAGTTAACATTTTTGTATTATATTATAGATGAGGATAAAAAACAAATTTTATAGATTTATCTATTCAAGACTCTGATATTATAAATGAACAAGTGATACAAAAATTATCAATAGTACGCTTGTATGATATTTTTTTTATTTTGAATTGTCTTGTCTTTGGAGTTTAACATCATTTTAAATTTAAATTTATTTAGATTTGAATTAAAAAATTTATAAATTTTTTATTTAAAAAAAACTTATAATTAAGTGAGCTAGTGAGCCAACCTGTTTAACCGATCAACCTGTTTAACCGATCAACCTGTGGTAGGTCGAGCCAAATTCGAATTTTTTCAGCTCGCTAATAAGTGAGCCGAGTTGGGTTAGCTCATTAAGGCCTTGTTCATTTGAAGGAATTTGGAGGAGAGTAATTGAAGGAATTTGAGAGGATTTGAAGATAAATTTTTTTGTTGTTTATTTGAGTGAATTTGGAGGTAAATTAGAGTGTATTTGGAAGTAAATTTTTTTAATCTCTCACGTCAATAAAATCCTACATTAAATCTCACAAATTTTACCTCCAAATACACTCTAATTTACCTCCAAATTCACTCAAAGAAACAACAAAAAAATTTATCTTCAAATCCTCTCAAATCCCTTCAATTACTCTCTCCCAAATCCCTTCAAGTGAACAAGGCCTAAGTGATCATCGAGTCGAGTCGGACTGAATTACCCGTTTTGACAGCTCTAGTTTATTTTATATATATATATATATATCCTTACATGTGTATTATCATAAAATGAATTTCTATATTGACAAAATACCAAAGTATTTTGTAAAAGAAATAAAATTGTAACGGTTGTGAAATTCTCTTTGAGTTTTCATATGTGAAATAAGTTAATTAGTTTGATTTTTGGATATAGAGATTTCACACCAATTAACTATTAATCTTTCTAATTTATTAATATTATGAACATGATAAATTTATTTGGGTAAAATAGTAAATGTTTTCTTGAACCCTTTTTCTTAAATATATAAAAAAAAGTTTTAAAAATGTACTTTTGCATTGGCCAACCCATAAAATTTTTGTGAGCATTTCCATATATATTTTTTCTGTAACTCATGTGAGTTATAGCCAAATTCTATGGATTGGATTAATCAAAGTCAAACTCTGTGAGTTGGACTAAACTGAGATACACATGAATCTTTACGCTACAAAAAATATATTTTTTATTAAAAGTTTATTTTTCATAAGACATACTAATTAGACTTTAAGATTTTCATGAAAATTAATATTTTAACATTGCAATCACAAGCGTTTGATCAATTAACCTACATACAAAAAAAATAAATTAGAGCGATATAAAAATTACAAAAATAACGAATTTAACTCAAAGTCCGACTAAACTGTATTTACATAAAATTTGTCAAACCAATTCAATTGAGTTTGATACCTAGTATATACTCAAAGTTTGTATTCCATTCAAAAATCAATTATCAAATCGAAATAAATAATTATTTTATTGTGTTTAAATATAACATTATATGTGTTGAGTTAATTGACTAATATAAATAAATATATAGGTTTTTTATATTTTATTGAATTTTATTTAATAATATATTTATATTAACTAAAGCATGATGGTAACATTGTATTTTAATATTAATTGTTAGATTGTGTAATATATTTACAAATATGACATAAAATAAAACTACAGATGATAACAAATATAAAAGATATACAATATGTTCTTTTCGTGGACAATTTCTTATTATAAAATATTTAGTATTTTATTATAAAATATTTAATATTTTTTATAAAAAAATATTTTTCATGATTTTACAGTAATAAAAATTAAAAAATTCTGTTCAAGCCAAATTATAAAACAGTTGTACAGTTTTAAGCTGTAAAAGTGTGGAGAGCATGCGCATACCATAAAAAAAAAATAAAAAATAACCAAAATAAATAAATTCAGTGTACTGGTTTTAGTTAGACCAATTAGGCCCGTGAATGGAAAAGTTAGTATATGTATTGACTATGAGAAACACAACTACAACAAATAACTAATTAACTGAAAACATAAATTTTGAAAACTTAATGTAAGTCCTAAGTTTTTAAGTACGAGGTGGAGTAGCGTCAATCTGTAATTGATTATATTAAACTTTTAACCCAAAAAAAATAAAATTCTTCCATTAAATTCGTAATTAATATTTAACTAAAGGAAAAAATTACTCGATTATATTTAATTAAAGGAAAAAACTACTCGATGATATTTAATTAAAAAAAAACTACTTGAGTCATGTCAGTTTGGACAAGCTTAGTATAATTGAGTTGGTTAGAATCAATGTTCAGTTAAGTTGATCAAGATCTAAATCGAGTCGAGTTAATTAAAATTCAAGTCAAGCCGAGTTGGATTAACTTCATGTCAAGTAAAGTCCAATTAAGTGGAGTTGGACCTAGGTGAGACCATAACGAATAAGGTAAAATTTGATTAAATCATGATTGGTCCATATTAGATAGAGACATTTGATAAGAGGATCATGTCAAACTAAGTTAGATCAATTTCACGTGAAGTCCAATAAAGTTTATCCATACCAAGTTGACCTAAACTACAAAGACAAAAATATGATTTTTATAAAAAAGTAATTAAATTCTTAAATTTTAGATGATGAAATTTTAATTTTAAATTTTAAGTAATCCAAATACTTTAATAAAAATCTGAAATTTTAATTTCTTTCGACATTACTTATCTAAACAACATACTTTATCGTAAACATTTCAAAGTTCTTTTACAGATATTTAAGGCATTTCAAAATCTCTAAAATGTCTTGTCCATTAAAATAGATTAAGACTCACACTAATTAACATAAATAATTTGTCTGTCAAAAGCTATAACGATGCAAGGTAGAAATGAATATTATCATATCGGTATGAAGTTCTAAAGGTAAGATGGGGAAGGAGAAGAGGACACTATCAAAATGTCTAAAGTTTATTTGATTTTTGTGAGTATCAAAGTTAAAACAACATATCACAATCCTGAGCTGTGTTTAGAATAAAGGAAATTTTCTTTGGAAATATTATAAGGATTGTGGGGTGGTTAAGAAAGCATGAAAATTTAATATCCTTGTATATATCGATGTAAATTTGTATAATATTTTTACATAGAGTAGTCAAAATGGGTCACAACCCGCAGACTAACCTGATCTATCACAGGTTCGAACCGGATTGAGTTTGAAAATATTGTATTTTTTTTATATGAGTCAAATTTAAACCCGGCTCATTTAAACCCAGCTCATGCGGATTGAATTCGTGGTGGGTTGAGTTGGCCCACCAACCTACCTACCTAATTTTATTTTATTAAAATTTAATTTTAATTTTATAAAAAAATATTTATTATTTTTTTTTTGCTTGAAAAAATTATTTAAATTCCTTATTTTCAAAATTAATTAAACACCCATGTTGGCAGTGAAATTTGGGAGTAAAATTTGTTTAAATTTGAATTATAGAAAGTTTGAAAATTTTTTTATTTAAAAAGAATTTGTAATTAAGTGGACGAATGAGCCAACCTATCTACCCACCGACTTGTGGTGGGTCAAGTCGGGTTTGAATTTTTCTGACTCGCTAATAAATGAGTCAAATTTTTTCACTAATTGACTAACTTGTGGTGGGCCGGATTGGATCGAGTGACCTGTTTTGACTACTTTATTATAAAAAAAAGTTTTGTATACCTATTATTATATACTATATTTCAAATATGCTAACAAAAGAATATTAAATTTGTCATGTGGAAGATTTACTCCTTCCAATTTGTAATAATGATCCGTGTTAGTGTGTGACCCGATGAATTCTTGTCTCCTAGATTTGACTTTTGGATTTAACTTTTTATAAATATTTTAATAAATTCTATATAAATAAAATATTTTGTAAATTCAATTTAATTCATACATAAATTAAAATCGTTTGAAAAAAAAATCTCTAAATTAACTTATCCATAAAATAATTATATTTATAAAAAAAAATATTTGAAGTATTCTAGAAACTCTCAGTTGACAAAACTGTTGTGGGAGGAAGTTGACAGTAACCCGAAGCGCCTATAAATTAAGGCCATACCATAATCCATAAACTCACACACACACACACACTCAGTTGATCTATCTCATCGTTTCTTTCTACTTTGATCAGAAAATTATGGGTGTTTTCACTTCCGAAAGCGAACTCGTTTCTCCAGTCTCCGCTGCAAAATTGTTCAAAGCCATTGTCATAGATGCCGCCAACGTCTTCCCAAAAGCATTACCAAACTTCATTAAGAGCGCAGAAACCATAGAAGGAGATGGAGGACCAGGAACCATTAAGAAGCTCACTCTTGCTGAAGGTAAACATCAATTACTTATATGTAATATAATATAATTCATTTCATGTTTATGTATGTGAAATGTGGAGACAGGTTTAGGGTTTGTGAAGCAGCAGGTAGATGCAATAGACACAGAAAACTATGTGTACAACTACAGTGTGATCGAAGGAAGTGCATTGTCAGATACATTGGAGAAGATATCTTATGAGTACAAATTAGTGGGAACCGATGATGGAGGATCGATTGTGAAGTGCATGAGCAAATACTATACGAAAGGTGATGAGAAACTCGCTGAAGAATTTGTCAAGGCTGGTAAGGAGAGATCTGCTGCATTCACTAAGGCTATTCAGGATTTCATTCTGGCTAATCCTCATTACAATTAATTAACCCATCTCCGTGTTATCGATATGATACAATTCTCTCTCTGTTTCTTCATCCTGTTGTGTTGCTTTAAGTTTCAATAATTAACGTTTGATCTTGCTTTGAGATTGTTCCCAAAGTGGTCATGATCATTATATCGGTACTATTTGTTTTACCCTTTTGTTAGGAGCGTCTCTGGCTTCAACTATAATATGAATGCATTATTATTACTTTATGGCTTACTTGAAATGGAATCAGAGGTTGAATCTACCATAACAGAAATGTTTATGTTTAATGTTCAATAGTTATTCAAACGTAAGAACATATATGTGGAGAAAATATATATATATATATATATATATAACTTACGACAAAATAGCAAGAGTTGAAGCCTGAAATCACGAGATGCAAACCCTACGAGGATTTTTATATTGTGATCTGATAATTATTTTTTAAGATTTTTTAATTTAATTTATTTGCCAAGTTATTAAATATTTAGGCTAATATCTTTTAAACCATACACTCATAAGCACTGTTTAATCAGACATCAGTTTGGACAATTTAAGAAATTGATGGACCAATCCTAGAATACTTTTAGAAAAATAATATATTTATGAGAAAAAAATACAAATATACGCAGCTTATCGATTTATCAATGTTGTTCAAAATAAATTTATTATTTTTCACTTGTAATTTAACAGTAAGGAACGAGGATGGTTGAGTATTTTCTTTTATATTGATAATCACGTTCTCTCTTTCTTATTCGTTAGAAGAAGAAAAATATTCTTGGTAAACCATTAAGAGTTGACACCATCAATAGTGGATACTCAATTACAAGAGTCCAAAATTTGATTAAAAGGACAATTGTGTACACGAAAATATATCAACTTTGATTATCCAATTATAAAACAACGGAACAAATAAAAATCTTAATTCAACTAGAATTGAATCACTAAATAGTAAACTAGTATTTTTTTATGGGTTTAAAAAATTAATTTTGAATACTATACCTTAGTGTGATCTACTTTTAGAAAGAAAAAAAAAACATTTAAGCTTAAAATTATGTACCAACAATTGTTTGTACAATAGGTAGATTTTTTCAAATAAAAATAGTAAAATTTATTCATAAAGTTATAACATTACATCAATAATTTTATCCGATTACTAGAAAGACAATTAAGTTTTCAATTCAATGGCTTGCAATTTTAACATATATCGTTCACAAAAATACCATAATACGGTTGTAATAATTATGAATTAAAAAATATTTCAAAACATATAGACTTGACGGCGTCAACTCTTTAATGGCGGACCAAGAAAAAAAAATTCACTAGGAAAATAAGATTATTACGACTTAGGAGAATTAATAGTCATGCTCGTTTCAACTGTTAAAAATAGATTTGTATTGACGGATTGCAAAAAATCTTCTATGTCTACATCATTACTAATGTATATTCACTTAATTGTATTTCTTGTATATATACGTATAAGATCCAATTATGTATAATTACTTAAATGTCTAACTATATAGTTTATTAAAAAATGTTTTGAATTCAAACTAAATTCATTATTAATATAGTCAAATACTGAGTTAATATGTTAATGGTTGATATTGCGTGTTTGTTATATATTTTAATGATATATATTTATATAAATTCAATTTGTTAACATATTTAATTTATATTTGTAAATTGATAATATATTTTTTAATTTTTTTAAGACGTATCCATAAATATATAAATATTAATTATTTTTATATTCAATATAATTTAGAAAGAGTAAAGTTTTTTTTTCAACACGACGGGTAAATGTTTCCATTCTCTTATTATGCTTTAACATATATACAATCACAAATTTTATTGAGAGTCAATATCTTTAAATTTAATTTTAAAATAAATAAAGTTAATGCATAATTGTTTGCTATTATAATTTTTTTTATTACGTTAATATATAATATTAAATCATTCAATTTTTATATTTCTATTTTAATTTTCATAATTTTTTGTTTAGGTTTTTACCCGTGTGTTATTTTTAGATAAAATAAGACAATAATATATGAATACGTTAGTTTGTTAAAAAATAAATAAAGAAAGCAACTATATATTTTAGAACAAAAGAAGTATGATTATCAATTTTTTCTAAAATTAAAAAAAAACAATTACTCCTAACACATAGGTTACTATTTTCACTCTAACTCTGCATTGTTATACATATCAATTTGTATAAGATAAAATCATTGTATTTTTAGTCACCGTAATTTACATTTCTCTTTTCAGTTTTTTCTTTTTCCTTTCATGGTGGCAATCTCTAATCATCTTATTTCTTTTGAAATTTATCTTTTCTTTTTATAGCTTTAATTTCTAAGTATTTTATTTTACCCAGTATTTTCAATTTTGGTTATTACTTACTCTCTCTTTGCAATTAATTTTTTATATACTTTTCATTTAATTTTATTTTTTTCTGCTAAAATTCATCATCAATTTCTTATTGTAAATTTCTTATTTTTTGTTTATGATTTTCAATTCATGTTAATTTTGTTTCAATTTTTGTTCTCGGTACTATATATATTTAAGATCTCAATATGTAGAATTGTCAATTTGACCCATGACCTATAAGTTAGTCATAATTCATTATGAAAAAAACCCCTCGTTAGAAAACCCTTAAGTGGGGGTCAAAAAAACTCCAACTCCCAAAGTCTCTTTTCAAGTGGGTTAGAGTCACGGTTAAGGTGGGTTTAGTCCCACCACAAAATTTTAATTAACTTTTATAAACAATATCATTCATATATATATACATATAAAATTATATATTTTATTAGATTGTTTAATATATTGTAATTTTATTATATTTAAATCAATATTTTATATCTATTTATTATTATGTTATTAAATAAAATATATAATAACACCTTATACTTTTTGAGTTTTCATATATTAAATAAAATATATATTTTTATATCATACTTTATATATATATATATATATATATATATATAAATTTTCATGTATGAAATAATACTTCATATATATTTCTCATATATCACCATACGATCAGTTAAATATTTAATGATTTTATTAATTGTTATTTTTTGTAAAAAAAAAACTGAGTTATCACTTCTAATATATTCTTTAATCAAACGTAGTCTTTGTAAAAAAATTGTTCATGTTAAATAAATAAAATGACTTTTCCTTGCTTTAATTAAGTTTTAACTTCTTTAAAATCAAACAAACATTTTAAAAATATAAATGACTTGCTTAATTATTAAGTAATGAATTTCTTTTATATTGTGATAAATAATTAATTTTTTATATTTTATGTATTTTTTTTATAACATTTTAATAGTTTTTTAATTTCTTTTAATTCTAAAAGAATACAATCAACATGATTAGAATTTTAAGCCTGAGGATAGAAGTTTCGTGTTAAAACATAATATAAAAACATCAATAAAATTATATTTTAAAATTTTCAGTTATAGATAATATTTTATATTATTTTTTATTCACTTTTTTTTCTTCTATATATGATGATAAAACATATATTTTGAAAGTGAACCAATCAACATAAAAAATAATTGAAATATATATATATATATATATGATTAAAAAAATTAAAAGAGTAGAAAAGTGATAAACTAATAAACTACATGTGAACACTTGAATTAATAACAACTAGAAATAAATTAGTGAATGTTAAGAAATGATACATCACAAACCACTTAATATTATAAATAATTTATTATTAATTTTGATAAAAATTCATTAGAAAGTAAGAAATTACTTACTCAAATATGTTTATACGAGAAATATTATATATATATATATGAAAAATATACATGAAGTTTTTTGTACAACAAAATTAAACAACTGTCTTATATACTTAAAAAATATATTTAGTCAAAAAAGAAAATTAAATATGTTTAGTTAGTCGAGGATTTCAACGTCCTATATTCTTGTGTAATTTTCTTATATAAGCAAGGAATTAAGTTTATGGAAATTTCGTATAAAGTTTATTTAGTCTAATTAAAATATTTGTATATATTTATTTAACAAATTAAATGCATTTAGATTTGCAATAAATTAAGAGTTAATTACATTTTTTTCTTCTATTCAAAATGAACATTTTTTTCTAGAAAAAAGACCCATGGATTGACCCTGACCTATAGGACTTTTGTAGATATTTTGGTTCTTTGAGCTTTTTCTATGAGAAGTTTTTTTTTTGGTTCTGTGAGTTTTTCTTACCCCAACCTATGTGAGTCATGATCAAATTGTAAAGGACTCAAAATTGATGGGTCTATTAATATGTATACTTAAGAACATCTTTCTCATTCTATGTCATATATTGATGTCATCTCAGATAACACCACATTATGTCAACAAGAACATTTCAACTAAAACTAAAGAGGATTAGTCATAATTAGCATAATTAAGACATGACATTGGTATAAAATTAAACAAACTAAGAAAGATAATTATCTATGTAGTCTAGTCCAACCAAATAAAACACCATATATATATATATATATATATATATATATGTTTCGGTAGGGATTTTGTGAGACCCAAACACTAACCTTTGACTTGTGTACTCCGCTTGTACCTGTAAAAGACACTCCGATGCTCAAGTTAGGAGCGATTTTTGAACTGTTTGTTACAGTTAAATATTTAAGTCTTGATTAGACATAAATAGGACGTACTGGAGTGTGAGTTGAATGTGTGTTTACCTCAAACCTAAACCTATTTATACAGTTTAGAAAAATCTGACCAATTAATTTATTTTTTAATGGTCATTAATGCAAACCTTAACTGTCTAATGGTAGCCGTTACCACATTTATTTGTGTAAGCTTTTTGGGACTCAGCATTTTTTATCATTTGACAAGTACATTGTCTTTTACAAACACACATCATTTGACCAACCTTAAGACCGACATATATCTCACATTAGAGGCTGAATAGTGAATAAAAATAATTTTTTGTGAAGTAAACCTGATTTGGATAATGTAAGAACACAATCATATATCTAAGC